TTTGCGCCGGCGAAATGGAAAAGTACCCTTTCCTCTTTTCAATTAAAGTTAAAAATATAACTGATAAATAAAAATTCTGGAAAATTAATTATCACATTATATTCAGTTTTATAGAAAGTTATGACTAAAATAATGACTAGTTAATAAGCATCCTGAAAAATTAATTATGTCATCTAAATGCATAATATTTTAGTGAGAACAGAACTACATTCTGACTCAGGTTCTGTGCCTCCAAATTTCCAAGTTTTGTGTGGAAACATTAACTAAATTGATGAATAAAAATAGTACACCAAATATCTACTTGCTACCCTTATATTATACCATTTATGCTAATAATTTACCTGCTTTCCATCTTATGGAAAACAACCAAACAAGTGACAGGTGTTAATATAATTTTCTTTGTATATTTTATATAATAAGTTCTTTACACAAAATTTCCATTGAACTACTGTGACTTTTCTCACTTATATAAAGCTACTTTAATGCAATGTTTTTTATGGCCAACCTTTGTAAATATTATTTAATCAGATATTGAATGCGAACTCGGAAGTCTTTTACAGGCAGATGATTGTATCAAATTTTACATGTAAATGAATGAAAGTTTAAAAAATGTTGTACTTTGAAAGAACTTTTGGCTGATCTTTGGAATATGGTAACAGGTAGTTTGGCGACATTTTGGTAAGGCGATAAAAGTTACTAGCTAGGACTAGCTAGTAGTGTACATGGATAAAGTGCGCAATGCCATTTTTGTGCAATTCTGGGATTTTTTTTTAAGCGAAAATAGGTCGACGTGTACATGGATGATAAAGTGTATGTGCAGTCCTTAAAAACGCGGCAAGCAGTTTGCGATTCTGCACTTTCTCCCAATTTTGCACCTAATCTTCGTCATGATTAAGCATTTATGTTCCATAAAAGTTCTAGTATAAGCGTAATTCGGCTAGCAGATTGTTGGAAAAAATGTTGAGGAAAAAAAAAAAAAAAAAAAAGCCTTTACTTTGTGAAAACAAAATGGCATCCAAAACAAAACTAGCAGGTTGCTGTAGCAGGGTTGGTTGCCAAAAAATTCAATACTGGCATACAATTACATAGAATTTGTACCAGATAGTTCAATTTTATGCCCTAAGGGCATTTGCGATAAAGTCAATTAGGATGCAATCACACCGCTCACCTGAAGGCGAAAATATAGAAAAGGCAAAGTCAAGGGTTAAATTCATGAATTCTAATAAGAATGCACTAACGAAGCAAAGCACTGAGGTTTTACGTAATTTCTGAGTAAGCTATTCATACGAATGAAATAATTCTTGCATTTAAACTTGTATTCCAAATTAAGATTTAACTTGAAATTAATGTATATAATTACTGAGGAGAATTAGATTTTTGTAGCGTAGTTTAGGTGAGGGGGGGGGGTCACGTGATATGAACCGGCGAATCAAGATGTTTGAATCATGAAAGCACAGTAAATTCTTAAATTAAGTCTTTTACAAATTATTGTTTTATTTATCAGCTTTTACAAAATTTAAACAATATTAAAATGTTTAGGGCCTTCAAAATAAAAAAATTCTTTAGAACTACATTATTAAAATTTTTTATCTGTATTTGTTTGTATCGCCAATAAAGTCTGCTTGGCGAGATTGCGCCGCGAAATGGAACCTTTCCTCTTTTCAATTAAAGTTAAAAATATAACTGATAATAAAAATTCTGGAAATAATTATCACATTATATTCAGTTTTATAGAAAGTATGACTAAATAATGACTTAATAAGCATCCTGAAAAATTAATTATGTCATCTAATGCTATTTTATGAGAACAGAACTACATTCTGACTCAGGTTCTTGCTCCAAATTCAAGTTTGTGTGGAAACATTGAACTAAATGATGAATAAAAATAGTACACCAAATATCTACTTGCTACCCTTATATTATACCATTTATGCTAATATTTACCATGCTTTCCATCTTATGGGAAACAACCAAAAAAGTGACAGGTGTTAATATAATTTCTTTGTATATTTTATATAATAAGTTCTTTACACAAAATTTCCATTGAATACTGTGACTTTTCTCACTATATAAAGCTACTTTAAGCAATGTTTTTATGGCCAACCTTGTAAATATTATTTAATCAGATTATTGATGCGAATCAGGAAGTCTTTTTACAGGCAGATGATGTTCAAATTTTACATGTAAATGAATGAAAGTTTAAAAATGTTGTACTTTGAAAGAACTTTTGGCTGATCTTTGGAATATGGTAAACAGGTAGTTTGGCGACATTTGGTAAGGCGATAAAAGTACTAGCTAGACTAATAGAGTGTACATGGATAAAGTGCGCAATGCCATTTTTGGCAATTCTGGGATTTTTTTTTAAGCGAAATAGGTCGACGTGTACATGGATGATAAAGTGTATGTGCAGTCCTTAAACGCGCAAGCAGTTGGCGATTCTGCACTTTCTCCCAATTTGCCCTAATTCGTCATGATTAAGCATTATGTTCATAAAGTTCTAGTATAAGCGTATTCGGCTAGCAGATTTTGGAAAAAATGTTGAGGAAAAAAAAAAAAAAAGCTTTACTTTGTGAAAACAAAATGGCATCCAAAACAAAACTAGCAGGTTGCTGTAGCAGGGTTGGTTGCCAAATTTTTGCCAAAAAATTGCCAAGTTACCATAATCCAAAGATTAACCGAACTTTTATACTTAAAATACTACTTTAATATTTTAACTGAGTTTCAAATGTGAGGGAAGAAAGTTATTAGCCCAAAGGAGCTATTAATTTCATTTTAGCATTTTGTGTCTTCCACTATAAAACAGCGTTTCACTTTTCAAATAGTTGCCCCCAGATATTAAAGCCCTACGTCATATTTAACCCTTAAGTACAGATGTTAATTTTCTGTTATGTAAACACAGGGGAGGGGTCTCTCAGACTGCTTTCTATTTTATGCATTTTAAAAATATAAAGTTTTAAAATAATGTACTATTGTTATTATATAAGCGTTACTACACTTTGCTTGTTATAGTGAAGTAATTAATTCTTTTTAAAATTCTAATATTAATAGATAAAAACTTCATTTTTAAATCACAAACATATGGAATACTTAATCAAATAAATAATATAAACACTACTTACTTGCAAGTGCATATAAACTAAATGATTTAATAAATTTTCCATCTACAGAATCTGGATTATATAAAATAATACAAAAAAGTTTAATATGTAAAGAATAGTAAAAAACTACAGTACATTATTTTAAGCATTTTCAACACAATTTTTGCAAATTCTCTTGGCATATTCATTACATATCGGATTCTTGAAACTGAAATATAGATAGGTTTCTTTCTCAGTCTAAGGGGGACAAAAAAAGTATGTTTTACGCCTTTTAGGGGTATCAGTTACATCTGAGCTAGAATAAATTCCACTGGAAACTCCTAGCACTCTCTGAATGGACAATTTTATTTCTCGTTCATAGTTGACTTTTGAAGCCTCCATTCCATATGTGGTTTCATTAATCCTGATTATAACTCCAACAAAAAAAAAAAAAAAAAAAAAAAAAAAATTTTTTCCAATTTGGCACTGTTTCTTAACGACTGATCCACTTACATCAAGTAACCTAAAGAATATAGCCATTCGCCATCGACTTGTTCTTCGGTTTGTAGAATGTTTAGAACATTTTTCATCCAGTGTATCTACACCTCCTTTAGTCACATTGTAAAATGTTATTATTTCTGGTTTCTCAGTTTCAAGGTCTTCTGATTTCAAATGATGCATTGAAGAGAAATGAGAATAATACTTTTTAATTTTTGAGGCACATGTGAAACGAGAGCCATTCTATCTGTGAATGCATAAAAAGAAGATCCTTCACTTTTCATTTTATTTGGAAAAAAATCACCTGGTATTTCTGTCTTGTTCCCCCCCCCCATACCCCCTCATGCCAGAAAAAGTAATGTAAACGCAGAGTTGAGGTCTATATGACTGCGGCCCATTTTAAAAAATTATTTAAAAAATTTAAAAAAACTAATGGATAGAGTTTAATAAAAATTTAGGAATAGTTATATTTTATATCAACTTGAAAGTACTGAAAAGGAGGAGAATAACTGTATTATTTATAAGCTGTTTCACAGTTCTAAAATATTGGCACGGTCATATAGTTCTAAAATACTGGCACAGTCACTTTAACCTTAGTGTTTAAGTTTAAAGAAATTAAATAATGAATCTTCATGAATGTATGTTTCTCGCATTGTGAAAAAACAACGGTACCTAGAGACATCAAATTTTGAATAATGTAGTCCTCCTCTCGAATATGGGCATCTGGAAGCCTAAATTTGGAATTTGTTTTAATTATCTATTTCAGATTTTGTATACTTTTATTAACAAAAAACTCAGCGATTTTAAGGCAAACAATGACAAAACTGCAGAGGGCATGGATTTTTATTTATAAAAAAATCTCAGGTGCGTGAGACTGTGGATCGGAAATTCTCAAGATATGCTCTTTTTAAATATTTCGTGATGTTGCTTTTGAATTGAATTTTATGATTTGAGCACAAATAACATGATAGTTAATAAATAAAGGTAACACATAAAATGTTAAAAAATGCTTTTTGGGCATAACATAAAATCTGAAAGCTTTCATATCCCCCCCTTAAAATGATAAAAATATTGTGATTATAATACAGAATTATTAAAAGATAAAAAGTCATAAACATTTTCATGTGTTTCAGTATTATTGGTTTACTGGAAAGTGTATAACTCTTTGCTGGCATAAAGACAATTTTTTTTATTAGCATAAATTTCTGAAACGTGTAATTTAGCCATCTGTGTAGAATATTTTGTGACCAATTTAAATTTTCAATTTTGGGAAAAATTTAAATTTTCAGGTATTCTCTCTCTTTTTTTTGGGGGGGGGGAGTTATTTAAAAATTATGTGACATATTTATATGATTTTTTGAATTGAAATTGCATTTTATAATCTTAATGTATCTATTAGATGATTAGTAAAGATTTTTATTTCAGTTGTCAAGCAAAGAATGCAGATGTATAATAGCCCTTACAAAACATGTTCCGAGTGCTTCTCTAAAGTATGGAAAGCAGAAGGAGTTCGAGCATTTTATCGCAGTTATACTACCCAGCTCACCATGAATATACCTTTCCAAAGCATTCATTTTATAACATATGAATTTTGTCAAGATTTAACTAATAATCAAAGGAATTACAATCCTCTGGCACATGTTACTTCTGGGGCCATATCAGGAGCTTTTGCTGCTGCAGTTACAACACCTTTGGATGTTTGTAAGACTCTTTTAAATACCCAAGAGCAAAAAGCTTTACAGTTTACTAAGCAGGCACATATTAGTGGACTTAAAAATGCTATTGTAACAATATATAGGTTCAGTGGGCCTAAAGGTTATTTTCGTGGTTTACAAGCTAGAGTCCTTTATCAAGTGCCTTCAACTGCAATTGCATGGTCTGTGTATGAGTTTTTCAAACATGCACTTGTGTTAAAACAGCATCGTCAGCATACCTATAAATCGGAACATAGTGCATTAATTGCACATGCTAGTTCCATAGAAAATCAGCATTCATCTGCTCATCCCATAGCAGGGTTAACAGTAGTTTACAGTGACTGAATATGATAGGTAATATATCAGTTGAAGTATTTTTTAGGTGTTTTTTTATATGTGAATCCCTAAAAGATGATGTAATTCAGTTTTAATTTTACATATTATTAAACACCTCTTCATGAATAAAAATCATTGTATCTATATTATGAACACATTTTAAACATTTTATTGAAATCATAATTTTTGAAGATATTGCTGTAAACCATCTTGCAACTGGAAATTATGAGTTATGCTAGCTTATCTTTTAGGGATTTATTTATTAATATGAAATGCATTAATAATTAGTGTTGTAAATGTATACTTACTGAACTCCTTATTATCTGTGTGTTTAATCCTCCAAAAAGGATTAGAATTATAAAGTTAAAATATCAAAAGCAGTATTTATTTCTTTTTCTCTTACTACTCAACTGGTATTTTATAAGGAAGTATTTTGATATTACAATATGTGTTCTTCAAGAAACACTTCACTGTAATTGTTGTTTGAGACTATTTAATGGTAATGTAAAGGAAAGAAAAATCAGCTTATGAAGAGGAACCAGTTTCTGATCTTTTTGAAACAGTTTGGTGTAGAAAAAAGTAAAGAGCATAAAATTTAACCATGGTCATTCTAGATGTGATAAGTTAAAAATCTAATAGGCGATAAGGAAAAGATGAAAATGAACAGTAAACAGTAAAGGGTGAGAGCAGAAGTGTAGCTAGGGTTTTCAGCGCCCGGGGACAACTGAGATTTTGCACCCCTTTTGGTGTACCAACAATGTAAAACATTTCATTCTAAAATTTCACAACATCAATTTGGCACCCCCTGGATGCTGCGCCTGGGGAAAGCTGTCCTTCCTTGCCCCTCCCTATCTACGCCACTGCGTGAGAGCAGTGGTCGGGCTCTAAAATGGGTTGAAAAGCTGTTTAATTGTACTGATCAATAAACTGAGTTCAAGGTTTAATGAATCATAGTTCTGAATAATCTAAAAGAATGTCATCATGGCATGCAGATAAGGATATAGCTTTTTTCCTGAATAAAGTCTGGAATTTATATAAATTTTATTATTTTTAAGTAAATTGTATTTCAGACTATTAATTGAATATATATAATTTGAAATGCCTGAAAAATTAAATTTATATGAATACATTTTTTGCATTATCTACACTTTTTTTATTACATACACATATATTTTAACACATATATATTTTAACATGGATAATCATTTTAGAATGTCAGACACATGATTGTTTTCCTCTCACAGTCTGTATTTCTGTATAAAGTATAAACTAATTATTAAAATAGGACACATATGCCATCAAACTGAAGCTTATGCAATTAGTTTTTTAAATTAATTTCATCATTGATACATTAAAATCCCAACTGTATAACTGGAATAGAAAGTGAATGAAGTAGTACATGTTTTGTATGGATGTTATAAGCTCCTGAAGGTAATTATAACAATAACTCTTTTAAAATGTGAAATAAAATGAAATAATAAAAATAAAAAAAATATGAAAAAGTTAAATATGAAAATAATAATAAAAAAAAAATATCAGTTGTAACTCTGAATGCATCAACTCTTTTTTTCTCATTTTATTGTAAGAGAGGGAAAAAAAAAAGATTTGAATTAATGACATGCTTATAATTTCTTCTTTTTTAATGTTGTGCACATATTTATTCTTATGTAATAAAATGCTTAATAATTTATTTTAAGAAAATAGCAAGAGTTTACTAAATTTATCAAATGCTGTTTACTGAAGAGTTTACTAAATGCTGATAAAAGGGAGGGGATGTTTAAACTAAAGAAAACTGCAATATGTTGTTACATATTGCAGTTTGCTGCAATATGCTTTACTCTTGAAAATAATAAGAATTGTAATAATAATGATAATAATAAAAATGATGATAATAAGAACAATAAACAATACAAACATACTGTTTTATCTAACAAAATCAAATCTTTATTAAACACCTAATATATAAAATAATTCAAAATTTGAAACAAAGATTTCTGTTCATTATAAAGTAATAAGATGATTGTTTTGATTGCAAATGATTGTTTATAAATAACAGAATTCGAATGAAACCATCTAGGTAAAGAACTTAATATAAGACATTAGAAATAGGTTTGTAATAACACTTGTAGTATAAATCAAAATTTCTATCTTTTCTGTTTCACTACCTCCTTTTTCCCCTCTGTGCATTCTCTTGGGGTTTATTTAGTGCACATTTCCTTGTAACGGGTATACATTAGATGTCCTTTGAGAGTGTCTTCTTTTCGGCACTGAAAACGTATAAAACCTTTTAAAAGTATATACACAGTCCAGTCACATTAATGTGACCACCACGTACTTTCCATGTCAGAGTTAAATAACCAATCACAGAAGGCAGGTGGCAGCACAGTGCAGTTGAGCGTATATAAAGGGTGTGTGAGGGCATCGGAAAACATTTCAATCGTTGGCGTAATGCAGAAACGAAGCGATTTATCCGACTTCCAAAAGGGCATGATCATTGGCTTTCGGGCCAAGGGTGGAAGCATTTCAGAAACGGCTGAGTTAGTGAACGGCATTTCAGAAACGGCTGTTCGCGTGCCGCCGTGGTAAAAGTGTACCGTGCATGGCAAATGGGACTGTCCAAAATCAGCAACATGGCAAATGTGGTGGTGCACCACGGGCCATAGATGACAGAGGCGAACGACGGTTGCGGAGATGCGTTCAGGCAGATAGATGGGCTACCGTTGAGCAACTGACCACCAAAATGAACCAAGGGGCTACCAAAAGTGTCTCCCAAAGTACTATTCAGCGAACATTGCTGTGTCTGGGCCTCCGAAGCAGACGCCTGGTTCGTGCACCTATGCTGACTGCTGTTCATCGACGGCGAAGGCTAGAATTTGCACGCCAGTACAGCAGCTGGACGTCCACTGAGTGGCGACAGGTTGCGTCTTCGGATGAATCGCGTTTTATGCTCCATCGGACAGATGGACTTTGGCGTATAAGGCGTGAAACCTCTGAAAGGAACCACCCTGCAACCATTGCCGGAACGGTCCAAGCTGGAGGCGGGAGCATTATGGTCTGGGGAATGTTTTCCTGGCATTCTCTAGGTTCACTGATCATTGTGGAAGGCACAATGGATCAATACAAGTACGCATCTGTTCTTGCGGACCATGTTCACCCCTACATGCGCATTGTTTTCCTCAGGATGATGGCATCTTCCAGCAGGACAATGGACAATGCGAGGTGCCATACAGCTGCCAGTGTACGTGCGTGGTTCGAAGAGCACCAGGATGAGTTTACCGTCCTCCCCTGGCCAGCAAATTCACCTGACTTAAACCCAATCGAGCATCTGTGGGACCATCTCGATCGAGTTGTTCGCACCATGGATCCTCAACCGCGTAATCTAGCGCAGCTGGCCACGGCATTAGAGTCGGCATGGCTCAACATCCCAGAGAACACCTTCAGGGACCTATGTGACTCTCTTCCTGCATGTCTCGCAGCAGTCCGCTCTGCGAAAGGTGGTTATTCTGGCTTTTGACAGATGGTCACATTAATGTGACTGGATTGTGTATGAAACTTGCATCACATCAAATTGTTAGTTAAAAACTCATTACCTTTCATGGTAAGATAATAGTAGCAATTAGCCTTTTCAAAGTAGTTATAATTATGAGCTTGATAAAACATGCAGATTCCTACCACAACATTCTCTGTGGTGTTTATAGAATAAACATTTTATTTGGATGTATTTGTTATCAGTGCAAGTACTGATTTGTGGACATGTTTTTGGTATATTAGATTGGAAGTTTGTAATGTTATGTTGGAATAAAGAGTAAGTCATCATATAATTTAGATCCTTACTATGATTTAGTATATTAGAAAGATGCATTTCTTTCAAAAGTGTTCAGATCACCAAGTTTTCCAAGAATGTTCTTTTTGCCCACTTCTTATTGTCCACTTACTGCCCCCAGGAGTAATCTCCCCTACACCTCCTAAGTGCCCACTAGTGAATGATAAAACCCATGTTGGGAAACTGTTTTATATATTCATCCTAGTTTGTTGTATAAATCCATCCTAGTATCCTAGTTGTGTAAATCCATGTTGCCTAAATATTTTACCATAATGGCTCCACATGCACATACGAGGGCAATCGCAATAAAAAGGTCTCCTATTTTTTGGGGATGTAGAGAAAGTTTTAATATGGTTGTTGGCAACACTTGTGAGTGGTGCCTTCTCCGCTACCACATAAGCACGCAGGCACGTCGCTCGGATGCTCAGTCTTGGCTTGGCAGCCATTCGAAATGGAGCTCCCGATAAACATTACCGCCAAGTGCAAAGTGCGCACAGTTATTCGATTTTTGAATGCAAAAGGCGTTGAACCGGTTGAAATTCACCGCCTATTGACGTAAGTGTATGGACAGTCGTGCATGGGACAACACTCAACGCTGACAGGTACTGTGAAACACTGAAGAAACTCAGAAGGGCAACTTAGAACCGGAGAAGAGGGATGTTCAGGAAGGGTGTAAGCATTCTCCACGACAACGCCCGTCCTCACGTCGGCCGTCAAACCGTCAATCTTCTGCAAAATTTTGGTTGGAATGTCATCACACACCCACCCTACAGTCCGGACTTGGCACCCAGCGATTTCCACCTGTTCCCTAAGTTGAAGGAACATTTGTCTGGATGGCGGTTCTGCTCCGATGATGAGGTGAAAGATGAGGTTCAACGTTTCCTGAAGGGCATGGCAGCAAGCTGGTATGACATGGGCATTGTAAAACTGCCACAGCATCTACAAAAATGCATCGACCGAAATGGTGATTATGTTGAAAAATAAAGCATTCTTCAATCTTTAAAGTGATGTAACAATTATAGAAAATAAATGGTTCTTTATATATCTAAAAATATAGCCTTTTTTTGGGGGGGGGATTGCCCTCGTAGTTGCAAAGAGAAAGGTGGTGAAAGAGGAAGAACAGGCTTAGAAAAAAAAAATAATGTAAGAACAATAATACGTTAAGTGTTTGGATTTATTGGCAATGTGAAGTGTC